TTTACCTCCTTCTCTATATCCATACAAAATATCTATCAAACAAATAAAATTAAAATTTTCTTTTGAAAAATGAAACCATTCCATCAGTATTTTCTTATGACGTTGTCACGTTCAACTATCGTCAGTAAACCGAGTTTACAGACAACCGATTTTCTTTTTTAGTTTCAACAGTACCTCAACATTACTAACCGTTTTATCGAATATAGCAGCCAGGATGACCTCCGAGGCTCAAATCCAAACGGTGAATATAGACACTAACTCTTTCTTTAGATATAGAATAATTATACATTGGTCATCTCTCACTGTTTCAGCTGGAGTCATGGATTTCCGAAAATTCAAACAGTTTGTCAGCTATTTCGTCTTCAGTTCAAAGATATATTAGGAGTGCAAGAAATAATTTAGCTTGGGATCAAGGAACTGCGGTTCAATTAAACAATTTCTATTTTCCGTCATCGTCGGTAATACACGTGCCTTCGGCTATCGCCTTAGCTTTACTTATTGTTCATTATTTCCTTTAATTTAAACATTGTTTTTGTGGTGAATTACTATGAATATGACCTATGTAAATAAAGAAATACAGTTAACATAAATTTTACTGATGTAGTATAAATAATATGTATTTCTCTTTGTATACTGCTTAAGCTTTCTATTAAACTAGTACTAATACAGAATCAATTTTTATCAACCAAAATTGTCCGAAATAAAAATTCCAAGTGTTACAAAAACACTCTAAATCTCCATTGTCTTCTATTCTTTTTGCGTTATTGCTTTTGTGTTCTTTTAGTACCTGTCTAATAAAAATGCACTTATTTTCATTTTATTTAAAGGACTATCTGTTGGAAATAATGGATTCACTTTACAATAACGTTTCGTTCACAAGAAATCCTTCGGAATCATACGTGGATGTGCAGAAGAAAGAACTCGCATTGCAGTGGGCCTGCAATTTAGGACACTCTGACTGCATAGAACAAGCACAGGATCTGTATAGGTCCTTAAGAAGTAACAACATAGCGTAAGTATCATTCAAAGATAATATTTGTCATATCAAATAATGCATTCCATGCTTTTTTTTATATATCAGAAATTGATAAAACTTCTCGAACTATAAATCTCCTTGTTTTTCCTATGGTGTATGTATCCTAAGGCTATACGGTATAGATTTAATGTTAAAGTAGAACGCTATCATTAAACATTAGAATACCAACTTTTAACTTCCTTTGATATTGATAGGAATGACAAAATGAATAATAAAAGCAATGCAGAAAGGTGGACGAAAAAAAATGACGAAAATTCTGGGTACATTAATTTTAAATTAATTTTAACAATAATTATAAATACGTGTTATCCCATTATCNCACCACGTGTGTTTGCGAGAGAACACGATCGATAAAAAATATCAATATTTTACTTACAATATTTTACTTATCTATTATTAATAGATAAGCAAGATTTATTATCAATTACTGAAAAAAATAAAAAACGCTACTGTGTGGAAAATTGTAAACTTAAAATTTTCAAGCTCTACCTAATTAACAAATGAACTGAAAAGATACGTTTTTCGGCATTTCTTATTCCAAATTACATTTGAACATGTAACCTATTTATAAAACTTTTTGATAACCCACTCGATACGTTTTGAAAAAAGAAAAATTTTTGAAGACATTATATGGCGTCATAAGTCGGCCATTTAAATTTAAAATTTGCTATCGTCTTTTGTTTTTTAGTTATAAACAAAAGTTGAAAAGTTCGAGTTTTGACTACATGACTACATCTTGGTTATTTGTGACATTAGAGAAAAACGACTTTTATGTTCTTCAGGCACTTTTTAATGTAGAATAGTGGTGCTGTATTAAAAAAATCAGTTATGACACTTGTATTCTTTTAAATAGGAACCATGGTTGACTATGGTCGAAAACATACGGCTCCCTCTGGCACAGTTGGTTAAATAGGTACACCAATAAACTTTTTTATAAATTTCCCATTCTTTGTGTGTTTGCATATTGTGCGATAAGGCGATAACTGACAATTTTTGGCAGTTTTCAATTACAACAATAATCTCATTTGAAAAAGATAAATAATTTAAATGTGTCTGTTACTGTGTCAATTAAATCTTTATATTTATGAAGTATCAGTGCATTACGTACATGCAAGGCACAAAAAAAAAACAAGTGCGAAACTGCTATCGACTTTTTAGAAATATACTTTTTTTGTGCAAAACTAACGAATGTTTCGTTCTATCTCGTCTAGGTACCCCAAATCGATTTGTTATAATTTTTGGTGGAATTATTTCAAAAACAACACACACCTACGTTCATAATTGCTTATAAAAAAATACAATTTGTAGCAATTTTTTGTACATCTTATTAACATCTACACCTTCTTCTTGAAACATTTTCTGTAAATAGTCGAAAAAAGTTATAATATTAGAAAAGCACATTTTCGTAACTTACTAGCAAATTCAATAATGAAGAAATGATTTTAAGCTGTTGAAGTTCAAGTACAATAATAATATATACTGAAAGATATTTAAATATGCAGAGTTACGCTGGAAAACCCTGTTTTCCTGGTCTAGGTTACAAATATTCGAAATGTGGTGTTGCTGTCGAATTGTCATGTTACCGTCGAGGGTCACACTTGACGAAACACGTTATAGATTTCTAAGCATTTTGCATGAAGTTTTCTATCTGAATTACTGAATTATCCAAAAATTGATATTCAATTGTTACTATGCAGCAGAGTATTAATTAGATAGTGGTTTACATACAAATTTAATCTTTACATGTAAATATTTTGCTTTATCGCCAAATTAATACAGATTTAAACAATAGATCAAAACACTTGTACTGATGAGATATGGAGCTGTGCCACTTTATAAAGATCGTATAACTTCCTTACATAACCGCTAAGAAATCAGTTGGCTAATTAAAGCTGTTCAGGTAAGTTTAATTTCTTTCATTCTTTAGATTGCTAATTAATTAAGAATTTTTTACCATAGTCCTACCGAAAGTACGATATATTTCCCGGATCTCATTAGTATTGGTGGTTATTCACATTCAGGAGGAATGTGTGTAATACGTCAACTATTTTTAAATTTTATTAAATAGCAGATAATTAAACTTTAGTCTAAGGCCGCTACTACCCCTGAAAAGCTAAATATAACAAAAGACAAAATAACGGTCTAAACAATGAGGTTATATTTCCATTATACTGAGCAGTTAAAATATGCACGGTGTGGTTCCATTAAATTAAGAGAAGTACTTCTTAAACTAGTCAAACAAAAAAATTAGTAGATTCAGTCCTGTCAAAACATCGTCCTTCTCATACACATGACGAAAACATATACAACTCCTTACTGGCTTCGGTTTTTCAGTAACAAAATCTTATCTAAGTTAGCTGACGTAAATTAGAACATTTTCACAAGCATATGTGATAATGTTTCGACAACCATTGTTTTCTACAGAAATGAATAGTAATTTATTTCCTATTTTATTTTCGAATTAGAAAAATCCTCTAATATATGGATATTTAACAATTTCCAGATGAATGACAGCATGGCCTACATCATCCAGTTTGTATTTCTACTTTTGATAGTTCACACTACACGTGCTCAAGACCCCTACAGATTAGGAGCTATTGTTACTCCAACTCATTATGATGTCGAATTAACCCTTTTACCAGGGTTCGGCCCCAGTGCATCCTTTTCAGGAAGAGTACAAATCAGTTTGGAAACTTCAGCATCAGTTACACTATTTGATCTTCACTCTAGCAGTTTAACATTTAGTAGTTTACGGCTTTACGATAATGCAGATTCTAATCAAACTAATATACTAACTAACTACAGCATGAATGAAACCTATGGTGATAAGCTGTGGATTCAGTTATCAAACAATTTAGTGGTTGGAAGACATTACATCCTTTCAGCCAATTATACTGGGATACTGTTCGATGACATGAGCGGATTTTACAGAAGTTCGTATAAAGATGCCAACAAAAATACACGGTAAGTAACAGGTAACGTCCGACTCAAGCTAGAGTGCATCTAATTTCTACAATTTTGTCAGGTACTGCCTATTACATTTTCCGACATTTATTTGGTGTAAAAGATTATAAAAATGAAACCTTTAATACCCTAAAGGTTCCTGGTGTACCATGCAAACAGTTTATAATTGATGAATCTTCTGTTTGTACCTAATGATGCATCTTGACTAATTTCGAAAATGTGGTTTTAGATGGCTTGCAACAACTCAGCTTCAAGCTACCTATGCTCGAAGAGCTTTCCCTTGTTTTGATGAACCGAATCTAAAAGCTACCTTTAATATATCGATTATTCATCCTCAAGATGTCCATGCTCTCGGTAACATGCCCATAATGTCTACACAAATGTAACTATAACGATTTTCCAGCGATGTAACAGTCAATCTGTAATTTCCCAAATGATTTTAGATATAACCAAACTGTGGGTCTAATCAAAACGACATTCCAAAAAACTCCTAAAATGTCCACATATCTGATTGCGTTCGTTATATCCGATTTTGCCGGGTTAACCAACACATCGATTAATTATGGGGTATATGCTGCACCCCATCTCATTAACACTACCCGTTACGCATTTGATATTGGTCCAAAGCTTCTTACAGAGATGAGGAACTTTATAAACAACACACAATTAAACCCCGGACTTGGAAAATTGGATGAGGTTGCTATTCCTGACTTTTCATTCGGGGCTATGGAAAATTGGGGCCTTAATACTTACAGGTAGGTAACGGACTAATGAATTATCATTCAAAAATTATTCATACTAATTATTTGTATAAAAGAGAGAGTTTACTGCTCTATGACCAGAATGAGTCGTCATTTGGTAGTAGAAGACTAATTGCAGCAATTATTATGCATGAAATAACTCATATATGGTTCGGAAATTTGGTAACATGTGATTGGTGGTCGTTCCTTTGGCTGAATGAAGGATTCGCCAGATACTTTCAATACTTTGGAACAACACGGGTGAGTTAATTATGAAGATATTTACTCATAAAAGATATTTAGATGAAGTGCAATTTATTCGAAATTGTTTTATTTAATAAACAAATGGAAAATGGAAAATATTGATTTCCATTGAATGAATTTTTCTAAACAATAGTTTTTACCTGCATTTAGTTAGTTTTAAAAGTAATTATAGATGCAAACACAACGATTTAGTTTCCACTTTAGTCGAATCCCGTGACAAAACTTCGAAAATATTATTTTAGGTTGAAACCGGAATGGAATTGGATAAGATATTTGTAGTGGAGCAATTGCAAGGTGCCTTTACAAGTGATGCGTCAACTTTCTCCCCATCTCTGAACTCAAATTGCTCCTCGCCAAGCGAAATCGACGATAAATTCAATTTAATCAGTTACAGTAAAGGTAACGAAACATTTAGTTTTCATTAAAAAATCATAATCTACGATAAGGGGTTAACCCTAAGTCGTGCGGCTCTATTTCAGTCCCTTTTTGACCCCCCTCCGTCCACATGGTCTACTATGGTTCCATTCTTTAACTGTCGCTTTGGAACAACATGATCTTTTTAAAAATTTTTCCAATTAATCTACTGCAAAAATTACTCCATTCAAAACCATATGAAACAATAAATATCGGAGCTGGTAATCCTTCTACATTTTTTATGACAAGAAATACGTCATCTTTAATCCGATGTGGCATGTAGGCAATAGATATTGATCCATTTCTACGTACTTTTATTAATGCAGTAACGATTCAATTCTCTTAAGTATAACCCCCTTCCCTCTTTGGGTAAAAAGGTACCGTTTACCTGGCGCCCCCTCCCTCACACAGCCATATGACTTATGGGCAGCCTCCAAGGATTACTTCAAATTTTTAAGTTAGTTATCGTACAAAAGACTAACATAATATTCTAGGTGCTACGATCATCAGAACGGTAAGATACATTCTAGGATACAACAACTGGAAATCAGGACTTATAGATTACTTATCAAAACAGTACGTAGAATATTACGTATAAGTTTTAAGAAAAAATAATTCCCCCTTTTTTACAATTTCAGTCAATCTGCGACAGGAACCCCGGAACAACTATACTCTGCGTGGTCAAATTACTCTCAATCCTTGCCCTCAGGATTATCAATATCGACTATTTTAAAAAATTGGACTGATGTGGGAGGTTTCCCTGTGGTGAACGTATCTTTATCTGGCAATAACGCAGTCATATCGCAGGTAAATTCTCCTTCAACAAGGTATCTGTAAAATCCGTTCTGAAGAAGCACATGTAAGATAAAGATTATCTTTTAGAAACAATTTCTACTAAATCCTTCGGGATCATCGAGCAATGAATGGTACGTACCCCTTACCTACACCACCTCCCTTGAAAAGAATTTCAACAATACAACACCGTCTCGTTGGTTGACACCAGGACAAAACGTAACGATTTCTAATATCCTTCGAGGAGGATCTGGATGGGTGCTTTTAAATCTTCAACAAACTGGTAATTGAACATTCGTTCGTTATAAAAATTATACTTCAATATTTAATTAATTGACAATCCTCAAGTAAAAACTGAATCATTCTTTGTCGTAAATTCGTCAATGTATTAAGCGATTATTGTCTGCAGGATATTACAGAGTGACTTACGACGACGGATTGTGGTCCCAGTTGGCAAGCGGATTACAAAAAGATAATTTCGACGGAATCCCAGATTTAAACAGAGCTCAAATAGTAGACGACATTATGACATTAGCAAGAGCGAGACAGATCTCCTATCCAAAAGCTTTGAACACAATTTCGTTTCTTTCAAAGGACACCAGCTATTACCCATGGTACTCCGCATTCGGATCCTTTTTATTTTTGAGAAGAAGATTTATAACCCATCCTACTCTTGGAAAGCCCTTTAAGGTATCTGACATTATTCAGTCCTTTTATAATACTAAAACTAAAAAAAAAAGTTAAAGTAAGTCCTTCCCTTTGCAATCATTCTCCTAACCGCAATTATGTATAACTATCTCAGTATTGATTGTGTGCTTTTTAATGCCTATCTAATTAAAACGGAATTATCTTTATCCTTGTTTAAAGGATCATCTGTTGAAACTAATGGATTCACTTTACAAAAGCGTTTCATTCGCAAGGAATTCTTCAGAATCATTCGTGGAGGTCCAGAAGAAAGAACTGGCATTGTGGTGGGCTTGTAATTTAGGGCACACTGACTGTATACAAAAAGCCCAGGACTTGTATCGGTCTTTAAGGAATAACAACAGAGCGTAAGTATTATTCAAAGGACAATATCCAACAAACACAGCGTCTTTTTATAGATCAGAAGTAGTGTGTTTTGGCGAGAAGGTCAAGTGTACGTTAATTGAACAGAGACTAAACACGTGATCCCATAAGCGGTCAATATTCCTTATTCTGAAATAGAAAAGTTCACTGACCTAACTCTCTAACAATGGTACCCCTACCCCTTTTTTTGTAACAGAAACGGCCAAAATACACTACTATCACAGTTGTACCTAAAATCGAAAGTAACCCAACAGTTTCCTAGCATTTCTATAAAATAACGCAAACTTTTCAAGGTTTAAATCTTGTTATTCTTCCTCCATTCAAAAACTCAGAATAAATTCGATTCTAGAGTAAAAACCTACCGGTAAATTTTAAAATGTCGATCTTAACGTATAATTAATGTTAAAAACAATAACAAGCACTATCTCATTCTCATTCCCGGCAATTTTACGAGTAATTTCAAGTTTTAAATAAAACTTTTATTGGTACAAAATGACTATAGTCACCGGCTTGAGTTGCTTCTCGAATGTTTCGTAAATATAAAGACAAAAGGTTAATAAAAATGGACCCCAATAATAAGTTTTCGTCATCAATTCTTTAGTGTCAACCCGGACGTTAGAACTGTGGTGTACTGTACCGCTTTGAGATATTCTAATGACTCTGGCGATTGGTATTTCTTATGGAATAAACTAACACGAGAAACTCTGGCGTCAGAAATCATTCTAATCATAAATTCCTTAGGATGTTCCAAGAATGAAACTTTACTCGATGAGTGAGTAATTTGCAGGCCTTAATAAATTTATTTATAATGCAATAGCCATCAGTTAATTGAACGTTTTTCTTTTAGGTACATAACCCAAACTTTAAACACTTCGGCTGGTATAATACGAAACCAAGACATTGGTTCAGCATTAGCATCAGTTAGCGGAAGTAACCCCGAAGGAATCGAAATCGCTTTCAATTACGTAAAGAACAATTATCAATTCCTTATTGATTAGTAAGTCTACTCTAATAAGTATTAATATTTGTTGCAAGAAACTAGAGCTGATATTTAGATGTGCTCTTCACCGGGCTTTGGCCTTAATCTGTGGGTCCTTCGCTTTTAACTTGGTGACCACTGAAAATTTTATAAGCTAAAAACGAAAAAACGTTTGAAAGAGATATGTACATTCTATAGATTACGGCCCTGAAGCCATAGAAATGGTAATTTTTATATATATCATGCATTTCGTTTCTTAGTTCCAACGATACTTCAACAGTGCTAAGCATTTTATCTAATATAGCAGGCAGGATGACCAACGAAACTCAAATTCAAAAGGTGAGTATATATTTATAGATTAATTACTCATTGATCATCTCTCATTATTTCAGCTGGAGTCATGGATTTCCGAAAATTCAAACAGTTTGTCAGCTATTTCGTCCTCAGTCCAAAGCTACATTAGGAGTGCAAGAAATAATCTTGTTTGGGATCGAGAAACTGCAGTTCAATTGAACAATTTCTATTTTTCCAATTCGTCCTCTTTCTATTCGTCTTCTTAAGCAACAGCCTAACCGACTCTTCATTATTATCCTTTTAATTAAAGCATCATATTTGTAATGAGTTACTTATATAAATAAATAACTACATGCAGCTTAAGTTTTTTACTAACACAATCGTGATTTTTTATTGTTAGTGCTATCCATAAAATAACCAGAAGGACTTACCCCCATAACCACAACAATTTAACAGTGGGGTAGCGTGAATTTCTACCACCCGGGGCGAAGGCTAAATTTGTTGCCCTTCCTATTTTTACCATTATGTACAGTAAAGTCTTTTATTTAATTTGGTCTGAATTGCAGTGAAGAGGTGAACACAAAAACATTTATTTTTAATTTAGCCTTTGAGAGGAGATAAATAGTGCTTATTATTGGCGTAAACTGAAAATGCATGAGCTTATTTACGAATAGCTTTCCTTATAAACTTATACAGACATTGTGTACTATTTATATTTGATTGTAATCGAAGAGTTTCACGTTCAAGTCGGTACAATAGCAAACAAGGATACAATTAGTGTACCGTGAAATCCACACAGCCAACTTCCCAGTAATAATAATAATAATAATCTAAGAAATCCCTAAATTTACTAAAAAATACCTACTTTACTTTACATACAAATTTTGTAGTGACCGGAACAAATAATAATCCGATGGTGCCAGGTCTGGAGAATACGGTGGGTGTAGCATTGTATCCCATTCAAGCTGTAAAAGCTTTTGGCGAGTGACCAAACTTGTGTGAGGTCTCGCGTTGTCTTGGTGAAACACTACACCTTTCCTGTTGATTAGTTCTGACATTTTCTGTTGAAGTGCATCATTCAGTTTGTCCACCTGATGACAGTAGACTTCCGAATTAATCGTTGTGTTATCCGGTAAAAGCTCAAAAAAAAACTATTCCTTTAAAATCCCACCAAACAGACAGCATCACCTTTTTTTGGTGAATATCGGCTTCGGAAATGGTTTGAGCCGGTTCATCTTTTTTGCTCCATGACCTCTTGCGTTTGACGTTGTTGTATACAACCCATTCTTCGTCCCCAGTGATGATGCGCTTCAAAAACGGATCATTTTCGTGACGTTTGAGAACCGAATCGCAGACGTCAATGCGGCGACACAGATTTCTCTCTGTGAGAACATGGGGAACCCATACATCGAGCTTCGAGGATAATCCCAGGCCTTTCAAGTGGTCGTAAACTGTTGAATTTGATAAATTTAACCTCAATCCGATCTCACGTGTTGTTATTCGCCGGTTCACATCAACTAATGCCTTTATCGCGTCTTTATCAGCTTCAACCGGCCTTCCCGAACGTGGTGCATCTTCGACATCAAAATTGCCGGATCGAAATTTAGCGAACCAGTTCTGGCACTGGCGTACTGTCAACACACCTTCTCCATACACATCAGTCAATTTCTTTCTGGCTTGAACAGCATTTTTACCCTTTCTGTAGTAAAACAGTAGGATATGTCGAAAATGCTGCTTATCGCTCTCCATATTTAAAAGGGCACCAACCAAAAACTACTGCGTAGAATTAATTGGAATTTTTCACACACAAGCCTTGCTATATGAGCTCTCAAAGCATATAAAAATTATACGGCTTAAATGTGAAGTTGGGTGCAAAAGAATACAATTAAATCCTCTGTCGGGAAAAAACGAAATGACTTTCCGAACAACCCAATACATTGGCTTACTGTTCACAAATAATTAAGCCTGTGGGATGTTCTAGTTTTAGAAAAATGCGAATATTAGCTCAGGATAAGAAAGAATGGAAGTGCATGTCTTATGATGATAATGATGATGGCGATGATCAGAGTTGTCCGTAATTCAGAAAAAGGACAAAAACCATTCACAATTATTGTAAATTCTCTAATAGTTTTCGAATCTTCAACAATTTTTAACGTGTTTTATCCAAAAACCACGAAGATGCTTCCTAGCAGTCGTGATCTGTTTTAGAGAGCCTCTAACAAGTTGAGGTCCACATTCCGACGAAACACGTTCTAGGTTCTCTAATCTTTTCGTGGAACGTTTCATCTGAATGATTAAAAATTTCATTTTCAATTAACAGTGCGTAATAGATATTATTAATTAGATAGTCATCTACAAGCGAATTTACTTATTCACCAATAAAATCTTTACCTTGCATTATCACCAAAATAAAAAATATAGATTTGTATAACAATTTATCTTTCAAAGCGCGTGTAGTACTGGAATAACTATATAAAGCATTTATAACATCTTTAGCAGTTTAGAACCAGTTTGTTATTTAATTAAAGTTGTTCTGGTAAGTTTCGTTTCTTTCATTCATTAAATAACTAATTAATTAAAATTTACCTAAAACAGTTAATTGGGAATTAATAAAAGCATTTTTTACTTTACCGTAGCATTCGGGGGGATGGCGTATTTTCTTCCCTTGACGCTTAATATGTGTACTATTTTTAACTTCCAACAGCAAGTTTTAGTAATGTGTCCAATTTTTTAAACCTCAAATTTTGATGCATTTCCACGTTTCAACTCGTCAAACACAAAAAAAAAAGTAAATTCGGCCCTGGTAGTCTCACATTGATATACGGAACATTAAAGGAGGGAGGCCGTAATGTGACAGGGCCGAACTCAGGACAATTTGTTGAGATTTAGATTAAAAGAAGTTTTTCTGCGAAACCCTTAAGTTCCTCAACACTTTTAATAATGCCTCTTTTATTCCTTCCGCGAAATTTTAACAATACTGACGTATCACCCTGGATATTTAATAATTGCTCACTACTTTAGTTTTCATTAACAAATGTTTAACTAATAGGTAGATAACCTAATAAAGTTAAACAACTTTAGACATCTTTTTCAAAGTGAGTTAGTTTAATATGAAATATAATTCTGAAAATTCATTTTTGGTTTTTTTTTACCCACTATACGCTACCTCAAATTAATGAGGGTAATGTCACACCCCCGCCGGGAATCGATCCCGGGACTTTTGGCTTGACCGACCTACAAGGTTAACGATCCGTCGTTTCCTCATTAATTTGAGGTAGCGTGTAGTGGGTAAAAGTTCAAAAATGAATTTTCAGAATAATGTTCCTAATAAAGTTGTTGTAAATTTTCACTAACAAGCTTTGTTTTCATCAGAAACGAATACTAATTTATTTTCTGTTTTATTTTCGAATTAGAAACCTTTAATAAGATTCTGCATACTATTACTATTAACTTACGATTAAACTGATATTTAAAAATTTCTTAGATAGGCGTCAGCATGGCGTACATCTTCCATTTTGCAGCTCTACTTTTGATAGTTCACACTACACGTGCTCAAGACCCCTACAGATTAGGAGCTATTGTTACTCCAACTCATTATGATGTCGAATTGACCCTTTTACCAGGGTTCGGCCCCAGTGCATCCTTTTCAGGAAGAGTACAAATCAGTTTGGAAACTTCAGCATCAGTTACACTATTTGATCTTCACTCTAGCAGTTTAACATTTAGTAGTTTGCGGCTTTACGATATTGCAGATTCTAGGCAAACTAACATACTAACCAACTATAGCATGAATGCAACTTATGATGATAAGCTGTGGATTCAGTCATCAAACAATTTAGTGGTTGGAAGACATTACATCCTTTCGGCCACTTATTCTGGGATATTGTTAGATGACATGGTTGGATTCTACAGAAGTTCTTACAAAGATGCTAACAAAAATATACGGTAAGTAATCGAAGTTTTACCATTTTGGTACTGCATATTGCTTTCTATTTATATTGATGTGTGATAATCCAAAATTATAGTACGATTTTCCGATATTTATTAGGTAAACAAAATAAGAAGTGAAATCTTTATCATCATAAAGATGCCTCTATGCCATAGATGTACACAAAACTCAGTTGTCGCTAAGGCAAATAAAATTTAAATTAATTGAATTTATAATCATCAAGATGTGGTTTTCAGATGGCTTGCAGTAACTCAGTTCCAATCTGCCTTTGCTCGAAGAGCCTTCCCATGTTTTGACGAACCGAAACTCAAAGCTACCTTTAATATATCCATCATTCACCCTCAAGATGTCCATGCTCTCAGTAACATGCCCGTAATGTCTACACAAATGTAAACATAACGATTTTCCTGCGATGTAATAGTCAACCTGTAATTTCTCAAATGATTTTAGATATAACCAAACTGTGGGTCTAATTAAAACGACATTCCAAAAAACTCCTAAAATGTCCACATATCTGATTGCGTTCGTTATATCCGATTTTGCCGGGTTAACGATCGATTAATTACGGAGTATACGCCCCGCCCCATCTCATTAACACCACCCGATACGCATTTGATATTGGTCCAAAACTTTTTGCAGAAATGAGGAAGTTTATAAACAACACACAATTAACCCCCCGAATTGGGAAACTGTATGAGGTTGCTATTCCTGACTTTTCGTTTGGAGCTATGGAAAATTGGGGCCTTAATACCTACAGGTACGCAACTATTATTATTTGCCATTCAAAATGTATTCATGCAAATTATCTTTAAAAAGAGAGAGTTTACTGCTCTATCACCAGAACGAGTCGCCATTTGCTACTAGAGCATCAATTGCAACAATTATGATGCACGAAGTAGCTCATATGTGGTTTGGAAATTTGGTAACTTGTGACTGGTGGTCGTTCCTTTGGCTAAATGAGGGATTTGCAAACTACTTTCAATACTTTGGAACAGCAGGGGTGAGTTAATTATAGAGATGTTTAGTTGCAAAAATACAGTGTAATCTCTTTATAACGTCACTCGATTTAACGACAAACTCCTTAAAACGTCGAAATTGCTTGACTTTGGTTGGTTTACATTGTTTTCTATACAATATTACACTTTATATAGCGTCACGCTCACTCTATTTAACGACAACAATGCAGCATTATAAGTCATTAAGCAGTACTTTCTAAGTTGCCGAAATAGATAAGAACTGCAGCTGTGTACGTTGTTGAAGAAGACGATCTTGTCCCTCCACCAAGCATCAAACAAGCACTTGATGCAGCGAAATTATTAAAAAAATACTTTTTATATAATCAAATTGATCCAGCAGTATCTCAAGATATGAGTAAGATATATAACAAAATACAATTAAAATGTTGGAGCAGCAAAAAACATCAGAAGAAGAAGACAAAATGTGTACTATATTGGTAAATGCATATTATTATAGAATAGTAAAATAATATCTTTTATTTCTCTTCATTTAACGACCACTCTTTATAACGCCGAAAAATGTTCAGTCCCTTAAGTCTCGTTATATAGAGTTTACGATGTATTTGGATGAGGTATGATTTACTTATAACAGTTTTATTTAATACCAAAATGGAAAATGGACAATAACGATTTCCATCCTCTAAAACTGGAAAATAGCGGTTCCCATTTTCTATATATGTATAATAGTTTTTATCTGTAGATTTTCTATTTCAAAAGTAATAATAAATACAAACACGACGACATAGTTCCAAAAATTCAATCCCAAAACAAAACTTCAATAATATTATTTTAGGTTGAAACCGGAATGGATCTGGATAAATTATTTGTAGTGGAACAAGTGCAAGACACTTTTGCAAGTGATTCCTCAACTTTCTCCCCATCTCTTAACGCAAACTGCTCCACAGTAAGCGAAATCGAGGATAAATTCGATGGACTTAGTTACAAGAAAGGTAACAAAACATTTAATTTTTCATTATAATAGTCACCGATAAGGGAGAAATAAGTCGAATGATTCGTTTTGATTCTCCCCTTCGTCCACACTGTCTATCATGTATTTATAGCCGTAGAACAGCGTGATCTATTCAAACTTTTTGAAATAAATTTCTGCGAAAGTTACTCCATCCTAAACCATCTGAAACAATAAATATCGAAGCTAGTAATCATTCTAAACTGTCTATGACGAAAGATACATCATCCTTGGTCAGACAATTCCATGTAGGTAATAAACATTGATCCATTTCTACGTTCTTCCTCAACATCATATCCTGACCTAATCTTCCTTTTCTTTAAAACTACAACATCCCATATCTTTAATTGTTTGTAAACAGTAATCTAATCTAGATCCAGCTCTATTCCTCTTCTGATCCTTCCTGATTCCACCTACCCCTTCATACCTGAGAAGATAGAAGGCGATAGGGTGCAGAAGTATCCTTTACCAGGTGCCTCCTCCATTACAGGGTCATATGGTTCATGGGCAGCCCCCAAAAATTACTTCAAACTATTAAGTATCTAATCATGCATACTATTAAAACCAAATTTTAGGTGCTGCGATCATCAGAATGGTAAGAAACATTCTAGGACACAATAACTGGAAATCAGGACTTATAGACTACTTATTAAAACAGTAAGTAGGATATTCCGCATGAGTTTTTGAAGAAAAAATGATTCCCTCTCTTTTTACAATTTTAGTCAATCTGCAACAGGAACCCCGGAACAACTATACTCTGCTTGGTCAAATTACTCTCAATCCTTGCCAGCAGGATTATCGTTATCGACCATTTTAAAAAGTTGGACTGATGTAGGAGGTTTCCCTCTGGTGAATGTATCTTTATCTGGCAATAACGTAGTCATATCACAGGTAAATTTTCTTACAACAAGATATCTGCAAAATCCGTTCTGAAGGAGCACATGTAAGATAAAGATTATCTTTTAGAAACAATTTCTAGCAGATCCTTCGGAATCATCCAACAGTCAATGGTACGTACCCCTTACCTATACCACCTCCCTTGAACGGAATTTCGACAATACAACACCGTCTCGTTGGTTGACACCAGGACAAAACGTAACGATTTCTAATATCCTTCGAGGGGGATCCGGTTGGGTGATTTTAAATCTTCGACAAACTGGTAACTCAACATTCAATTCTTGGGCAGTGCTTTGTCACTTGAACAATTTCGATATCGTTCATTCTCATCAGCTCACCACAGATAGTTCCGACCAACCCATTTGCTCCATTAAAGTAGTTAATGATGGTCCAATTAACGTCATTTGTATCATTAATGCATCCACAATTAGCGTAAAATCTTTACAAATGACATTCTCTGGGCCATGTACTTATCTGAACTGGTAACTATTCGTAATTGAAAATATCAGGCTATTTACCCTTCTCCATTATAATAATAAAAGGGAGGGCATATTTCACTTACAAAACCATTTACTTCAAAAATTTTACGTCCTCCGGGTACGCAGTAATGACGGTCCTTACTCGTGGCAAGTAACCAAAACGAAACCAACTTCACTATTTAATCTATTGGCAATATTCAATTTAACTGAATCAACCTTTCTCGCAAATCAGTTGATGTATTAAGCGATAATTGTCTGCAGGATATTACCGAGTGACTTACGACGACGGATTATGGTCCCAATTAGCAAGCGGATTACAAAAAAATAATTTCGACGGCATCCCAGATTTAAACAGAGCTCAAATAGTAGACGACCTTCTAACATTAGCAAGCTCGAGGCAGATTTCCTATTCAAAAGCCTTAAACATAATTTCGTTCCTTTCAAAGGACACCAGCTATTACCCATGGTACTCTGCATTCGGATCCTTTTCATATTTGAGAGAAAGGTTTCTAACTCATCCTACTCTTGGAAAGCCCTTTAAGGTATTTGGTTAAGTACTTCTTTAACATTAAAGTAAGGAAATACAAAAAAAAACAAAGCAAAGCTAATCTCTTGGATCTACTTAGGTAAACTTGATGGATTTCACTTTAAAGTTAAAGTGAGTCCTTCTCTTTGTAATCATTCTCCTAACCGCAATTATGTATAACTATTATAAATTGATTGTGTGCTTTTTAATGCCTATCCAATAAAAACGAAATTACCTTTATCCTTGTTTATAGGATCATCTGTTGAAACTAATGGATTCAGTTTACAAAAGCGTTTCATTCGCAAGAAATTCTTCAGAATCATACGTGGAGGTCCAGAAGAAAGAACTGGCATTGTGGTGGGCTTGTTATTTAGGGCACACTGACTGTATACAAAAATCCCAGGACCTGTATAAGTCTTTAAGGAATAATAACAGAGCGTAAGTATTATTCCAAAACCAATATCTAACAAATACTGCGCTTTTTAAAGATCAGAAGAGAAGGACAAGTGTAGGATTATTGAATAGAGACTAAAACGTGTGATCCCATAACCCGGTCAATCACATCCTCCTCCTTATTTTGTAAAAGAATGCATTAGTCTGAGGTTGTTATACATCGCACCACGTTGCTGGCACAGAATGGACACGTGCGGTCTGCTAACTGGTCACTCGATTGCAATGGATAAAGTTCATTGACCTAACTATCCAACAATGACACCCTTCCACCTCATTTTGTGACAGAACCGGCCGAAACTCACTACTATCACAGTTGTACCTGAAGTCGAAAATAACGCAACACTCATAATTTTTCTATAAAATGACGAAAACTTCTCAATATTTAAATTTCGTTAATCTTCCTCTATCCAAAAACTCATACAATATTTTCAATGATGCAGCAAAACCCTACTGATAAGCATTACAATATCGACCTTGACGTATTGTTGAAATCCACAAAAGATTTAAGAATATTAATGAGGATGAAACAATGAACAAGAACGGTATAGATCAAAATATTAAAGAAATATAAATCAATTATCTGCATTCTAAACATTGCTTTTTAAATTTTAAAAAGAATGGCAAGAATTATTCCATTCTCATTCTCAGCACTTTAACGGAAAATTTCAAGTATTAAATAAACTTTTATTGGTAAAAAATTACTCTGTCCTCGACGTGAGTTGCCTTCTCTAATGTTTCGTTAATATAAAGAAAAAAAAATTAATAACAATGGACCCCAATAGTAAATTTTCGTCATCAATTCTTTAGTGTCAACCCGGACATTAGAAGTGTGGTGTACTGTACCGCTTTGAGATATTCTAATGACTCTGGCGATTGGTATTTCTTATGGAATAAACTAATACAAGAAACTCTGGCATCAGAAATCATTCTAATCATAAATTCCTTAGGATGTTCCAAGAATGAAACTTTACTCGATGAGTGAGTAATTTGCAGGCCTTAATAAATTTATTTATAATGTAATAGCCATCAGTTAATTGAACGTTTTTCTTTTAGGTACATAACCCAAACTTTAAACTCTTCGGCTGGTATAATACGAAACCAAGACATTGGTTCAGCATTATCATCAGTTAGCGGAAGTAACCCCGAAGGAATTGAAATCGCTTTCAATTACGTAAAGAACAATTATCAATTTCTTATTGATTAGTAAGTCTACTCTAATAAGTATTAATATTTGTTGCAAGAAACTAGAGCTGATACTTAAATGTGCTCTTCTTCGGGCTTTTGTCGTAATCTATGGGTCCTTCGCTTTTAACTTGGTGACCACTGAAAATGTCATAAGCTAAAAACGGTAAAATGATTGAAAGGGATATGTACATTCCATAGATTACGGCCCTGAAGCCTTAGAAATGGTAACTGGTAAATATATGATGCATTTTCAATGTAATCCTTTCGTTTCTTAGTTCCAACGATACTTCAACAGTACTAGGCATTTTAGCTAATGTAGCAAGCAGGATGACCAACGAAACTCAAATTCAAAAGGTGAATATATATTTCTAGAGTAATTACTCATTGATCATCACTCATTATTTCAGCTGGAGTCATGGATTTCCGAAAATTCAAACAGTTTGTCAGCTATTTCGTCCTCAGTCCAAAGCTACATCAGTAATGCAAGAAGTAATTTAGTTTGGGATCGAGAGACCGCCAATCAGTTAAGCAGTTTCTACTTTTCTAATTCATCGTCTTTCCATTCGGCATCTTAAATAGTAAAACATGTGCCTTCAGCTATTGCTCTAGCCTTATTTATTGTTCATTGTTATCTTTTTAATTAAAATATTGTATTTGCAATAAACTACTAAAGTAAATAAACAATTATAATAATCACAGAAGTTTTTAAAATTAAGCTTAAACTTTTTCCTAATACAATGGCAACTTTTGTCTGTTAGAGATGCCAATAATTAAAGTTGTGATTGTGATTTTGGGGTTTGTAACAGTTTCTAACATGTTTTGTCCGCGAACAACGAGCTTGCTTCTTAACAGTCATCATTTCTTTCGTAATATTTGCTCATTCGCAGATAAAATTTCTACTTGTACTTTATATGACATATCACCAAAAAAATTACAGATTATTGCTGTAAAGGATTTCTGAAAGTACCTGTAATAATAATGTAGATAACGAAAGTCTTTATAGCATTTGTTTCCGTTTAAAAATTAGTAAGCTTTTAGTTTTGGACAGGTAAGCTTAATATCTATAATTCGTTAAATAACTAATTCAGTAATTTTTTCAATAAATAAGTACCTGTTACCCTTTATAAAGATAAAGCAAAGTAATTAAAAAGGGACTAAAGTAGTAAACTGAAAATTATTGTAAATATTTTATAATCTTCTAGGAATTAGTAGATTTTAGATGAACATGGCGTCTCAAAATTAAATAAGCATTTCTTAAACCAAAAAAGATTTTGCAACGGTTTTTATAATTCCTTGATTACTTCTTCTACAAAATTGTACATTTAGTTACTCGTTACTAGTTTTTCTATTAGTAGCAAATGCTTAACTAAACTCTGAGCCATCTATTGTGGCGACTGAAGTAATAAAACTTCAAGAATATTTATAAGCTTAACATCAACAGAAATAAGAAGGACCGCCCGAATTTTATTTAGTGACAATGTTAAGGAACAATCACCCTTATTAAGTTCATTTTTGCAGCTAAAATTCAACAAAAATGTTGCACTACCTGCCAATAATTCGAAAAACAAAGTTGTGGAATTCGTTTGAACACACCCTTCTGAAACTTATCAAATTGAGCTTTGAGGGCATAGCAGAATATAAAACGTGTTTCATTTAAATGGTGCAACAAAGTTGTAATTGCACTTACGCATGAGCAAAGGCGCTGTATTGTTGGCAGATTTATTGCATGAGCCGCCACTTTAGATGACTCAGAGCTTAATTAGTTGATGTAAATTACACTATTTTCATAAAAATAACTCTATATATAATGTTTCAGCAAGCACTGTTTTCCTCAAAAATAACTACTAATTTTTTTACGTTATTTTCGAATTAAAAGCCTTTAGTAGATATGATTCTGTATATAGTTAATGTTAACTTAAATTAACTGGATATTTAACATTTTCTAGAAGAAAGGCGACATGGCCTACATCTTCAGTTTTGCATCCCTACTTTTTGTAGTCTACACTACACTTGCCCTAGACCTCTACAGATTAGGCCCTACAGTTACTCCAAGCCATTATGATATCGAATTAACCCTTTTACCAGGATTCGGTCCGAGCGCGTCATTTTCAGGAAGTGTAGCAATTAAATTGAAAACTTCGGCATTAGTTACACTGTTCGATCTTCATTCCAGCGGTTTGACTTATAGTAGTTTAGAGCTTTACGATACTGATGACCCTACCCAAAGTAATAGGATAATAGATTATAGCATGAATGAAACCTATGGTGATAAGCTTTGGATTCATTTATCAGAAGATTTAGTGGTTGGAAGAGATTATATCCTTACAGCCAATTATACTGGAATATTGCACGATGACATGAGTGGATTTTACAGAAGTTCGTATAAAGATGCCAATAAAAATACAAGGTAGGTCACACGAACTTTGCCCTTGCCTCTTCTCCTACTAAAGGCGTTGCTGTAACTAATAACCTTCAGAGTTCAGTTGAGTCCAAAATTAGTAATTTCTATTATTTTTTCATTCTTTATCCAAAGTGTAAATGTGGAAGACATCAAATTATTTTGATCTATTTTCCCTTTTTCTCTCCGTGCATTTTCAAAAATACTAAGCATGAAATTTTCGTGAAAAATTGATCTTAAGAATCTTGATTTGATCTAATAGATTTAAGTATACTCGCTTCAGTTTAATTTTGCCGGATTTGGATTATAAAGTCAAAATTGTAAATCTTTTACTTTATTATATATTACTTAAACAATAAATATCTATACTAACCCGTATGTTAGAATAAGATACCCTTATCTTTCTCGGTTAGTCGCAGGTAACAAACACTACTTCTACCTTATAAAATTTGTGCATCTTTCTTTCTATTTAATCAGTTTTAGAATGTGTCTCTCTTTTATTACTTGTCAACGCCATTGAAATTTATTTAAGATTCATTACCTTTCGTACCCTAAATGCCTATTACAAAAATTAGTCACATATCCAACTTTATCTGTTTATTCTCATTTGAAATGTGTCAACATCTTCTGAAGTGTATTCAGTACAATTTATGAATGATACGGAATCAATCAAGATAAAACTGACTGCAGTTCAAAATCGATTAATCCGCAACGGAAGTTACATAATCTGATAATTACAATTGATGCAAGAAAACAAAAACAATGATTTTAGATTGGAAGAAAGAATAAACTTAAACTCGACTAACGAACTTTTAGAAATGGTTGTAATTTAGTAATTATAATAATTGATTAACGTACCAATCAGAAAAACAAGGATTAAGTTGTTAATTACCGTTATAAATATACCGAAAATGCATACAAATGCATACATAAATTGTTTTTAAACAACAATAAGATGAAATATATGTAAAGATACTATTGTTGTTAATTTTAAGACGATTAACCATTACCTAATGACAACATTCAACTTTAACAACTTATTTCTACCCCGTTTACACTTAGTAGATACATGTTTTTACATCTGTACTTCTACGACTGACTATCCCACATTGCACCTGCCGGGTGCAGGATAAGTGCCTGTTGCGCAAATGAATCTTGCGCTAGGAAGATTAGCCTTCAACACTGAACAAAATTAACTAACCCCTAAATTAGATAACGATATTACGTACAAATATGAGATCATCTCTTACATAGGTCGCGTTAACTGCCGCTCAAATTTGTTTCTTTTTTTTCCAATTTTGGTTTGCGCTTAGCTGATATCACCTTCTGCAAGTAATGGCAATTGATATACATATATAAAAAAAATGTGTGGTTTTATGAAACCACGATGCAAGTGAAACTTTTCGGATTGTAGGCATTTAACTGTAAATTTTCGGAAAATTATTCGATATAGACAAGGTATGCAACTCGCGATTAAAACACACAAATTCCGCGGAGCACTTGCACGAATGAGTGAGAATATAAATGCTACACGGTTAGCTCATGCGAGCCATGAGCGCCGCCCTATTGGTGTTGGCTGCCTGCCGAGCGCCTTCCACTTTTACCCCTACGCCACGACCGGCTGTAATGCGACATGCGATACCGCAAAAATTTGAGCCGATGCAGTAAAAGTTTCACTTTAAAAAAAATTCAAAACTTCCGTCGCAATGCTTCTTTTCTTGTTATGTCATGTACATCATTTATCGTTATCTAATAGAAATGGGTTGATAACACCATCTTCTAATTGTACTTTAATGCTCTCTTTAATATATTCCTGTTAATAATGACGATTCTTCACACATTTAGATGGCTTGCAACAACTCAGTTTCAGCCCACCTATGCTCGAAAGGCTTTCCCATGTTTTGATGAACCGAAAATCAAAGCCACCTTTCAAGTATCCATTATTCATCCTGATGATTTCAATGCGCTGAGTAATACGGCCATATCCTCTAGAAAATTGTAAGTATAAAGGCTTTCCATTGATGTAACATCCAATCTCCAATATAGCAAATAATTTTAGATATAACAAAACTTTGGGCCTATATAAAACAAGATTCCGAAAAACCCCTAAAATGTCCACATATCTGGTTGCGTTCGTTGTTTCCAATTTTACCGGTTTAACCAATTCTTCGACTAATTATGGGGTATACGCCGCACCCCATCTCCTTAACACTACCCAAACTGCATTTAGTATTGGTCCAAAGCTTCTTACAGAAATGGAGAACTTCATTAACTTGACATATTTAAGCTCCGGAATTGGCAAACTGAATCTGGTTGCTATTCCCGACTTGCTGTTCGATGGTATGGAAAACTGGGGACTTATCACTTACCGGTATGTAACAAATCAATTATATATTATTTTTCTTTCAAAACGTACTAATATCAATTATTATTTCAATGAAAGAGAGATGAGGCTGCTCTATAATCCAGAGGAGTCACCACTTCATGCAAGAAGGAATCTTGCAGAATTAACTATGCATGAAATATCTCATATGTGGTTTGGAAATTTGGTGACTTGTGATTGGTGGTCGTACTCTTGGTTAAATGAAGGATTTGCAACATACTTTCAATATTTTGGAGCAGCATGGGTGAGTTAATTATAGAGATATTTAGACGACTGTATTTGGATAGCTTTTCAGTCCATTTGGTTCGTTTGAAAAATAATATTAGGTGCAAACGTAATGGCTTACTGGAGTCACACTGATACGTTTAATAAAACATTTTAGGTTGAAACCGATATGGAACTCGATAAAATATTTGTACTGGAACAATTGCAACAACTCGCTCTTCCAAGTGATGCTTCAAGTTCCTCAGAACCTCTTAATTCAAATGCTTCTACACTAAGCGAAATCGACGATAAATTCGGTACAATCAGTTATAGTAAAGGTAATAAAAAGTTTAGTTCTCTATTGAAAATCTTTCGTCGTAATAATCAGTAGCAACGGAATAAATCAGGTGGCTCTATTTTATCCACTTTTTGATCCCTTCTATCACATGATTTAGGATGGTTTTACCTTTGATCCCCAAGAACTATGTGGTCTTTCGTATTAAAATTTGACTTCGTCAACTGTACTTTTTATTCAAAACCATCCAAAATAATACATTCCAAAACTAACAATTTTGATTTTTGGCCTGACTTGCTACGTAATCCCCCTTAACGTGAGATAAGACGTAATAAAAATACATTTTTTAATAACAAAAGACTACACTGCTTAGATACCAACCCCCTCGAGTATAGGGTAGAGCCATCGCCCTCCTTTCAGAGTTGTTTGATAGAAAGACACCACATAAAGGTTAGATTAAACTATTAAGTAAGATTGAAACAAAATTGTAGGTGCTTCGATCGTCAGAATGGTAAAACACATCCTTGGATACGATAACTGGAGATCAGGACTTATAGACTATATATCACAACAGTACGTAGGATATTCTGCACAATTTTTAACAGACAGTACTTAATTAATTTCTTTCTGTTACAATTTTAGTCAATTAGCAACAGGAACCCCCGACCAACTGTATTCTGCGTGGTCAAATTACTCTCAATCCTTGCCCTCAGGATTATCAATATCGACTATTTTAAGCAGTTGGGCCGATGTAGGGGGGTTTCCTCTGGTGAAAGTATCTTTATCTGGAAATAACGCGGTCATATCGCAGGTAAATTTTCTTTCAACTAAATACTTGTATTATCCTTTCCGAACGGACACATGTAAGACAGAGATTGTCTTTCAGAAACAATTTCTACTAGATCCTTCGGAATCATCGAGCAATGAATGGTACGTACCCCTTACGTATACCACCTCCCTTGAACGGAATTTTGACAATACAACACCGTCTCGTTGGTTGACACCAGGACAAGACGTAACGATTTCGAATATCCTTCGAGGAGGATCTGGATGGGTGCTTTTAAATCTTCAACAAACTGGTAACTAAACTTTAAATTCCTAGGCAGTGATTTGTTCAAACTGTCGTATATACAGATCGAGATTGCTAACATTAAACAGCTTTCAATAACTGCTACAGACGGCTCTGTGAACGCCATCTGTATAACTAATGCGTACTTCATAATAATTTTTGTCCCGTTTAGCTCAGAAGTTTCTGTCCATTAATTGTTTTACTTTCTTTAATGTTTTATAATCGCTCGCACAATTTGTTCTAACTATCCATCAATAAACATTCTTTATGGTTTACTTCTAAACTATTCTAAACAAATCCAGATTCACTACTTAGTCTATTGACAATAACGAAGTTAGAACTGTGTTATCCTTTATCGTTAGCTGGTTAATGTATTAAACGATAATTGTCTACAGGATATTACCGAGTGACTTACGATGACGATTTATGGTCCCAATTAGCAAGAGGATTACAAAAGGATAATTTCGACGGCATCCCAGATTTAAACAGAGCTCAAATAGTAGACGACGTTCTAACATTAGCAAGAGCCAGACAGCTTTCCTATTCAGACGCTTTTAATATAATTTCGTTCCTTTCAAAGGATACAAGTCTTTATCCATGGTACTCTGCATTCACGTCCTTTTCATATTTGAGAAGGAGATTCCAAACGCATGCTACTCTTGGAGCACCACTTAGGGTATTAAATATTATGTTAAATATTTTCGTAATAGAGTATTGGCTCCTAAAGCCAAAGGTCTCATGTTCGATTCCCTTCAAAGGTTTGATAGTAGCAACAATTTTTTCTCATTAATTTGAAGTACTCTGTAGAGGGTTGTTACATCAATATCTAGAAATTTGTTAGATATAAAGTATAAAGGACAAATTTCTTTAAAATATGTCATATATATTGAAACATTTGTAAATTAATTCTGACAAATTGCTAACTATATAGACGCGTTTCGTCGTTATTACTGTTGTTACCTCTCGTGGCTTAGTGGTCAAGACATCGGTGCGTAAAGCGAAAGGTCCCGGGTTCGAATCCCGGCGAGGGTACGACATCAACAACAATTTTCCTTCATTATTAAAAAGTCTTATGCATATTAATACACTTAAAAAAAGTAACAGAAATTTGCCTTTGAGTTGCATGATGAATCTATAGTACAATTTTCCGGACAAAAACAATAGCTCCCCAAAACTCCTTCCTTTCCTTTTTGCCACAATTAAAAATCTACATTTATATCTACTGTGATTTTTAGAGAATATCTACTAAAACCTACATTATTTTCATCTTTATTTAAAGGAGCATCTGTTGAATCTAATAGATGCACTTTACAAGAACGTTTCATTCGCAAGAAACCCTTCAGAACCTTACGCGATTGTTCGAAAGAAAGCACGAGGATTGCAGTTTGCTTGTGAACTAGGACACAGTGATTGCGTACGAAAAGCACAGGACCTGTATAGCTCCTTAAGGAATAACAACAGAGCGTAAGTGCTACCTAAAAGACAATGTTTAACAAAAATAAGATCGCATTAGTTTTCATCGCGTTTCAAGCTTATAAGACAGATTTAATGCTAAAGAAAAACGAAACCGTTGAGCTTCAAATTATTAATTAGGAGAATGGAAATGATTGAGGAGGCATAAAACAATGAAAAACTATTTAATTTTTTCGAGTTAACATTACATTCGTTAAAGTATCTGTATTATTGGAACACTTTTTCAAATTTATTTTATTAACATCATTCTCATTCATTCACATTTATAAAACGAAAACCCAAAAGTTTTTCGACATCAATTTTTAGTGTCAATCCGGATGTAAGAACTGCGGTGTACTGTACAGCTTTGAGACATTCTAATGACTCTGGCGACTGGTATTATTTGTGGAACAAGCTAACGGAAGAAACTCTCGCTACAGAAGTTTTTATAATCGTAGATGCTTTGGGATGTTCCAGGAATGAAAGTTTACTCAATGAGTGAGTTATTCCTAAACCCTAAGACATGTAATAGATAATTGAAAATATGTACTGGTCCCATGTGAAAAAAAAAACAATCTTTTTGAAACAAAATTCAAATCATTCAAAAGTTTGTGGGTATTTTCAAGGAATAAGAGCAATGCAAAATTCATTAAAATTGTTTGCCAAAATTGACGAAGAATTTTAAGAATTAAAAAAATTAATAAAATACAGTTATCAACTTTATAAATGGAATATTATCAGGTATCTATGTATCCAAAAATCCACTTAACAGCACAAATAACATGTTATACGATATACAACACGGGCATAAACTTTTTTCGAATTTGCTATCTAAAACAAGCAATTTAAACCTACTTTAATGGCAAAAAATTACAAAAAACTATTGACGAATTGAAACAATAAACAATATAATATTGAAAAAAGCTGTGACTACAGGAAAAGAAGATTAATTACAAGTAGTCGATAATTTTGTTTTATTAGTGTTTTATTCATTTTTGAAGCTTCAATTTGCTTCTCAATTAATTTTGGCATTTAATTTCAACAATTTTAATCGTTGAAAAAGCACACAAACATTTGGGCGAAACGCTGGATTCTGTTTAATAAAGACTGTCTGTATCATCCGGTACCAGTTTAAATTTTCATTTAATATACGAAAACCCCAGGAAAATATGTAAATTGATAATATATATATATCTAAAATAATAGCTATCAGTTAATCGAATGTTTACTTTAAGATACATGACCCTGGCTTTAAACACTTCGACTGGTATACGAAGGAGCTACGTTAGTTCCGCGTTTTCATCAATTTGTGGAAGTAATCCTGAAGGAGTCGAAGTCACTTTAAATTACATACAGGAAAATTATCAAAAGTTTATTGATTAGTAAGTCTCTTCCAATAAGCACCTATTAATATTTTCTGTAAGTAGTTACAGCTGATATTGAGATGTGTTCTCATCCGAACTTTTGCCGAAATCTACAGATTCTTCACTTTCAACTAAGCTTAAATTGATGAACATAGAAATATGTTTAAAAGAGATACATTCTATAGATTACGGCACAACGTATTGGAAAGGACAAATAGTCCTTAGCGGCCCTTAAAGCTTAAAACTGACAATAAGTACGTACAAAATGCATATCCAATGTAATACTTTTCGTTTTCTAGTTCCAATGATACTTCACTATTGTTAAGCGTTTTATCTGATGTAGCAAGCAGGATGACCACCGAAACCCAAATTCAAAAGGTAAGTATACATTTATAGAGTAATTACTCATTGATCATCTCTCATTATTTCAGCTGGAGTCATGGATTTCCGAAAATTCAAACAGTTTGTCCGCTATTTCGTCCTCAGTCCAAAGCTACATAAGAAGTGCCAGAAATAATCTTGTTTGGGATCGAGAAACTGCAGTTCAATTAACCGATTTCTACTGGCTCCTAAAGCCAAAGGTCTCATGTTCGATTCCCTTCAAAGGTTTGATAGTAGCAACAATTTTTTCTCATTAATTTGAAGTACTCTGTAGAGGNTTTCCGAAAATTCAAACAGTTTGTCCGCTATTTCGTCCTCAGTCCAAAGCTACATAAGAAGTGCCAGAAATAATCTTGTTTGGGATCGAGAAACTGCAGTTCAATTAACCGATTTCTACTCCAAATCGTCCTCTTTCTATTCGTCGTCTTAAGCAACAACCTAACTTACTGTTCATTATTATCCTTTTAAAAGAAAACATTGTATTTGTAATGAATTACCAATGTAAATAAACAATGTGAATGAACAAAAAAGTTAGGTAAATAAAACGTATATTTATATACAACTTAACATTGTTACTAACACAATCGTATTATTTGTCTGTTCGTGTTGGTGCATAATCAATATGAGAAAGCAATTATCAGAAATCATAAGTGATTTTGATTTTGGAATTTTCAGCAAATTTCTAACTTGTTTTGTTGACGATCCACGAGCTTGCTCCCTGACAGTCGTCATTTGTTTCAAATAATCAATAAACGTTTAAGGTTCATACACTTCAATATGAATTGAATTTATTTATCAATTATGTGCTCATTCGCAGATAAAATCTTTAATTGTGCTTTGTATTATCACAAAAACAAAATACAGATACTATCACAACAACGCATTGGTGAAAGCACGTGTAATAATGAGATAGATAGTCTTCATAGACTCTATATTCGTTCAGAAATTAGTTGGCTAATTAGTCTTGGTCAGGTAAGTCCAATTTTATTAATTCATCAATTCAGCAAAATCTGCAGTAGGTAAATCTCAGAGCAAATTAATTAAAATAGAGCTAAAATAGTAAATCGAAAATTAATAATAACATTTTTTTAATCATTTACCAAGTAGTACCATTACCGAAAGTTTTTAAATACACGGCGTGTAATTGATGTTTGAAAAGAATTTTTTATAGTTGTTCATAACACAAAAACAGTACTTAGATTTCGGCTCTGAGAAAAGGGTTGAACAGTAATACAAAGTAACGTATTCGTGATTATCATACAGGATCGCCTTCAGGATAATTTGTTGAGACTCAGTTTAAGAGAGTGTATTTTCTTATCATTTACACTAAGACCAAACAATTTGCAAAAGTTTTCTTAATGCGTTGTCTATTTCGCACAATATAAAGGTCGTCGTATGTTACAGTTGCTTCCTAAATAAACAAGTACTCATTTTTCTTTATTTTATTTTCTAATTAGATAGATTTTCTAGAAGAGCACCATTATGGCCTACATCTTCCATTTTGCATCTCTACTTTTGGTAGTCTACCCTACACTTGCGCAAGATCCCTACAGATTGGGGACCACGGTATATCCAACGCGTTATGATATCGAATTAACCCTTCTACCAGGATTCGGTCCGAGGGCGTCCTTTTCAGGAAGAGTAGAAATTGGTTTGGAAACTTTGGCATTAGTGACATTGTTTGATCTTCATTCCAGCAGTTTAACTTATAGTAGTTTAAAGCTGTATGACACTCAAGATCCTTCTCAAAGTAATCTGATAGTCGATTATAGGTTGAATTCAACTTATGGTGATAAGCTGTGGATTGAGCTATCAGACAATTTAGTGGTTGATAGGGATTACATCCTTTCAGCCACTTATACTGGAATATTGCATGATGATATGTATGGATTTTACAGAAGTTCGTACAAAGATGCCAACAGAAATACAAGGTAGGTCACACAAACCTTGCCCTTTCCCCCCCTCGCAACTCACAACATTTAGAGTTAAATTGAGTCCGAAGTTTATAATTTCTGTTATTTCTTCATTCTTTTTCTAAGCATTTAATGTAGAAGACACCATTCATTTGTGTTTGAATTTCGATTTTTCTCAGTACATTTTCGGCAAAATGTCTCTCTTGATTTGAGACAGTAATATAAATATAAGTAGGTCCTCCATACCAATAGCTTCGTCACTAGCAAAAGTGCGCTTAATTTTTAGCGCTTTAGTACTTTTTAGCGTAAAACAGGGTGGCAGTTTCAGAGCCCGCCCTAATTTTATTCCCCTTTGAACCTTTTACGTAAAGTGCAAACATCTTCTAAAGTAAATTTAGTACAAACTTGTGCCTTTCTGGAATCAATCAAGATAAAAACTGACTTCTAGCCGAAAAGTTTTATCAGGTATCTACATCAAAATTAAATTTATTTGTTTTTTTAAGTGTCACGCAAGTTAAGACTGATTAGGTTTTCAGCGAAATCGGTTCAATCATTTTTCGTGGAGAATCAAAAAACTAAAAAAAAAAGGCGAACTAGCTGAGCTAGAAATAAAAGAGTGATGCTTTATTTTCTATAATGAACAACAAGCACTTGTGCAGCAACGTAGATAGACAAGTAAATATTAGGAAGGGAGTCCGGCAATATTGCACACTGTAACCGCTACTTTTTAATCTACACATCGAAGACGCGATCAACATCATTAAAGATAGTACAACTGTAGGGATAAATATGCAGGGGCAAAAGATTGGTATGATTACATTTGCAGATGATATAGCAGTATTAGCATCTAGCAAGGAGGAGTTATAGATAGATTTAAATAAAATGGAAGCGGTATTAACAAAACAGAGTCAAAAGGAGACAAAAAATTAGAAGAAGTGGCTGATTTTAGGCACCTAGGAAGTCAGATAAGTCAGGATGGAAGGAGTAGTAAGGATATAAAGCAGAGGATAGCGCAGGGTCAAGGCGCCTACAATAAAAATAAATTACTTCAATGCTCACGAACGGTTAATTTAGACATTCGAAATATATTGTTAAAGGTGTATGCTGCGCATGCGAATGATAAGGATACCGTGGATAGAGACATTAGAAAGAATCGAAGAACAGAGGAATCAATAGAAGTCAATAAGAAATACGCGAGATAGACTGGTAGGACACCTTCTCAGGCATGAACGTCTAGTTAGAGACATATTATAGCCAGAAACGGGAGTTAGGAGGGGTAGAAGTAGACCTAGATTAGACTACTGTTCGCAAATAGTTAAGGATTTGGGTTGTTCTAGTTTTAGGGAAATGCGAAGATTAACTCAGGATAGGAAAGAGTGGAGGTGCGTGTCCAACCAGTTTTAGGACCGACGACCTTATGATTATTATGATGACGACGTATATTTTCCTGTTGATAATGATGATTCTTTACACTTTTAGATGGCTTGCAACAACTCAGTTGCAGCCCACCTACGCTAGAAGAGCTTTCCCGTGCTTTGACGAACCAAACATAAAAGCCAGGTTCGAAATATCCATTATTCATCCTCAAGATGTTCATGCCCTTGGTAACACGCCCATAGTCTCTAGAGAAATGTAAGTAAAAAAAATCCCCGGGGATGTAACGTTCAATCTTCAATTTGGCAAACAATTTTAGATATAACCGAAGTTTGGGCCTATATAAAACAACATTCCGACAAACTCCTCAAATGTCAACGTATCTGGTTGCGTTCGTTGTATCCGATTTTAGCGGTTTAACCAATTCTTCGATTAACTACGGGGTATACGCTGCACCCCCTCTCATTAACACTACCAGATTTGCACTTGATATCGGCCCAAAGCTCCTTAGACAAATGGAGAACTTTATTAATTTGACATATTTAAGCTCCGGAATTGGTAAACTGGATCTGGTTGCTATTCCGGACTATGCAATGGGAGCTATGGAAAATTGGGGACTTTCTACTTTCAAGTAAGCAACGAATATGTTATATTATTATATTTTATTCTTTGTTTCTTCCCAATGAGTATATTAAGAATTTTTGAATTAGAAGAGGGTGAAATTACTTATTTGTGTACAAGAAAATTCCAATATCTCTGTCTGATATAATTAATTAACTAAGTAATCTACCTTGATAAACCTTTAGATCGAAAGACGAAACGTCGGTGGAGATTAAATAGTCAATTAAAACTATTTCAGCCCTTTCTGATAGCTTGTAATCGAGCAAATATGATTTTACACTTATTTATCCTCATGATATTTATTTTAATTATTATTTAAATAAAAGTGCAATTGAACTGCTATATGACCAACAAGAGACGTCAACTCATAGAAGAAGAACCATCCCGGAAATGATTATGCACGAAACAACACATATGTGGTTTGGAAATTTGGTAACTTGTGACTGGTGGTCGTTCACTTGGCTAAACGAGGGATTTGCGACATATTTTGAATATTTCGGAACAGCATGGGTGAGTTGGCATTTAAATGCATTTTTCTGAACAACAAAATTTATTTAACAAATATCATTTTAGGTCCAAACCGAAATGGAATTGGACAAAATATTTGTACTGGAACAATTACAAGTCGCTTTTCCAAGTGATGCTTCAAATTCGTCTGCACCACTTAACTCAAATGCTTCCACACTAAGCGAAATCAGCGATAAATTCGGTACAACTAGTTACAGTAAAGGTAACAAAAAGTTTAGTTCTTTATGGGAAATCTACTTCGTCATAATCAATAGGAACGAGATAAATCATGTGGCTCTATTTTAGTCATTTCTTGATCCCTTCTACCACACAGTTTCCTATAAATTTATCCTTAGAATGGAATTTGCATTAAATTGGTTTTACATAATTTTTATTTTTTTTATTCAAAACCATCTGAACATTTTAAAATACACGTCATCTTCAATCCAACTATTGCACGTAGATAACGAACGTTACCACTCCCATATAGGGTTCAGGTCCTTACCTTTTCCCAGGGTCTTCCCTTCTAGCAGAGACTTATGGTTTAGATACAGTCTAAGGATTACTTTAAATTGTTAAGTAACTAATTATAATGTTAAAAAACAATTCCAGGTGCTGCTATCATTAGAATGGTAAGATACATCCTTGGATACAATNGTTACAATTTTAGTCAATTAGCAACAGGAACCCCCGACCAACTGTATTCTGCGTGGTCAAATTACTCTCAATCCTTGCCCTCAGGATTATCAATATCGACTATTTTAAGCAGTTGGGCCGATGTAGGGGGGTTTCCTCTGGTGAAAGTATCTTTATCTGGAAATAACGCGGTCATATCGCAGGTAAATTTTCTTTCAACTAAATACTTGTATTATCCTTTCCGAACGGACACATTTAAGACAGAGATTATCTTTCAGAAACAATTTCTACTAGATCCTTCGGAATCATCGACCAGTGAATGGTACGTACCCCTTACCTATACCACCTCCCTTGAAAAGAATTTCAACAACACAACACCGTCTCGTTGGTTGATACCAGGACAAAACGTAACAATTTCTAATATCCTTCGAGGGGGATCCGGTTGGGTGCTTTTAAATCTTCAACAAACTGGTAACTAAACTTGAAATTCTTAGGCAGTGATTTGTCCTAACTGTCGTATATGTAGATCGCGATTTCAAAGCTTTTTGCTTCCATCAGCACACCGTGCAGACAGTGCCGACGGAACAATGATCAACCGCCTTGTTTCCATTAAACAGCGTTCAACTATTCATGATTGAAAAAATAAAGATTTCAACCCTTACAAATCCGTCTCAACAATACGAAAAATACATGTTTCACAAAATTATATTATTATTATTATTTCAGGACATAATTATTTTTGCAACAAATTCAACTTCACTGTATAGTCTTTTGACAATAATCAAATTATAACTGAATTATCCTTTCTCGATAATAATTGGTTGATGTATTGAACAATAATTGTTTGCAGGATATTACCGAGTGACTTACGACGACCAATTATGGTCTCAATTGGTAAACGGATTGCAAAAAGATAATTTCGACGGTATTCCAGATTTAAACAGGGCGCAAATAGTAGACGACGTTTTAACATTAGCAAGTGCCAAACAGATTTCCTATTCAAAGGCCTTTAATACAATTTCGTTCCTTTCAAATGATACCAGCTATTATCCATGGTACTCTGCATTCACATGGTTCTCAAGCTTGAGAAGAAGACTCCAATTCCATCCTACCGTTGGACCACTATTTACGGTATTTAAATTTTTATTTAATGCCAAAATTAAAAAAGGAGAACTAATCTTTAAATCCACGCTTATTCCATAATTATCAGGGCCGGATCTACATATATATAGGCCTTTTAGACTGCAGACCAGGGTCCCGTGACTATAAACCCATAGGAAAAATTTCCATTGAACTTCAATGGGAATCAATGGAAAATTTGTAAATTCCATTCAAACCCATTTGACATAAATAGAAAAATAATTGTTTCCATATACAATAATTCCATTAATATTTACATACGAAAAATTTCCATTGATTTTCAATGGGAACCAATGCAAAATTTATAAATTCTATTTAACACCATTCAATATAAATGGAAAAACAATTGGATACCTGAAAATGGAAAAGATCTGGTTTGAGATGATTAATACTTATTAAAATAAATGGAGAAAAACGTGCTGACGTTAATGTGATTGTCAAAGCAAGATGAAAAAAACCTCATATTTCATCTTGATTAAAACGAATGTCATTTAATTACCACCAACAATAATTAAAAGTAAAAAATAAAGAATTGACACTAGGATTTCCATTGGGCTCAGCAATGGAAGTTCCAATGGAACGCAACGGATATCCCACTGCGTTCAGCAATGGAAATCCCATTGAGTTCGGGAATGGGATTTCCACTAGAATTCTAGTGGAAATTCCATTCTTATCGGTGGTAATTAATTTTCATTTTTTTAATGGAAATACAATAGAAATTTTTCCTACGGGAAGAGACTCCTTTCTTTCCCTTTTGCATTCCCTCGTCCATTTCTTTTAACCACAATTGGATACACCTACTTATATCTAGTCGAATTTTTAGTACCAACAAATTTGATAAAACCCAAATAATTTTCGTCCTTATTTATAGGGTCATCTATTGACACTAATGAACTCAATTTACAACAGCGTTTCGTTCGCAAGGAATTCTTCAGAATCGTACGTAAATGTACGCAGAAAAGTATACACATTGTTCTGGGCTTGTACTCTAAGGCATCCTGACTGCATACAAAAATCACAGAACCTGTATAGTGCTTTAGTAAACAACAACACACCGTAAGTACTACTCAAAGGATAATGATTAACAAAGATCAAAATCGTACCAGAAATAAAAAATTACGTATTCTTATAATTTCTACAAATTATATAATGAAAATTTCCAACGCTATACATTTCGTTATCCTTCCAGTCTACAAAAGATTGAGAAATACTGATGCTGATAAAACAATGAACAAAACCTAGAATCAAATTTACATTTGTTAATGTTCTGCTATTTTCATTCTACATTCTTTTGAATTTCGGGTGTTTATTTTACCATCTTTACAGTTCTAGTCTTAAAACTCTCGTACATTAGATCTTAGGCGATCAAATACGTAATAATTTCATAAAAGTGGACCCCCAACAAACTTTTCGTCATCAATTTTTAGTGTCAACCCTGACGTAAGAAGTGTGGTGTACTGTACAGGTTTGACATATTCTAATAACCCTGCCGACTGGTATTACTTATGGAATAAATTAACACGAGAATCTCTCCCTTCCGAAATCAGTCTTATTATAGACGCCTTGGGATGTTCCAGGAACGAAAGTTTACTCAATGAGTGAGTAATTTGTAGACTTTCGAAAATATAGTAGAAGATTGAAAATATGAACTGGTCTCAAGTGATAAAATCCAACTTTTCGCTCAAAAGTTTGTGAGCTTTTTCAAGAATTAACAACAATACATTATTAATTGAAATATTGTTTGCCAAAATTAATGAAGAAGAACATTTAAGTTTGTTGAATTAATAAAAATTAGCAAAATAGAGTTTCAACCACTATGTCGACTACAAAACGTCCTTTTTATGGATAATATAAATGAAATATTATCAGGTAACATTAAATACAAATATATATCCAATTAAATGCACTAAAAAGCACAAATAATTCATAATAATATANACATTATTAATTAAAATTGTTTACCAAAATTAATGAAGTTTCTTGAACTAATAAAAATTAACGAAATAGAGTTTCAACTACTCACAATTATTCAATTTTGCCAAAGGATTTCAACCAATTTGGTCCTTAAAGCAACCACATAAACTTTTGCGCGAATCTTTTTGTCACTTGGTTGCAGTTCAAATTTACATTTAGTGGACAAAAATCCGTAGAGAATATGGAAATTCTTAAAAATGTATCTTAGTCAGTTATTTTAATGTTTACTTTTAGGTACATGAACAATGCTTTAAACTCTTCAAATGGTGTAATACGGAAACACGATGTTAGTTCAGCGTTTTTAGCAATTTATTCAAGTAATCTCGAAGGAATCAATATCACGTTAAATTACATACAGAACAATTATCAAAAGATTATTGATTAGTAAGTCTAAGTATTAATATTTACCGTTAAGAACTACAGCAAATGTTTATATGTGATTCTTTTCCGATGATGTCTATCTAATACTTATCAAATTTTTTGTTTTCAAGTTTTGACGGTACCTCAACATTGCTGGGTATTTTATCTGATATGGTAAACAGGATGACCACCGAAAGTCAAATTAGAAAGGTAAATAGACACAAATCTTTTATTTTACATGGAATAAAGTTTCATTAATCGTTATCCCTCATTAATACAGCTGGAGTCATGGATTTCCGCAAATTCAAACAGTTTATCATCTATTTCATCCGAAGTGCAGAGCTACATTGCGAATGCAAGAAGTAATCTAGCGTTGGAACAACAAATTGCGACTGAATTATACAATTTCTTTAATTCATCTTAGAATTCATCATCTTAAGTAATACATGTGCGTTATTCTAACACGCTAGAAGCCTTTTTCATTATTTCTTTTAATTGCCAAAGTAAATGACTAATTATAACAATCCTAAAAATCCAAATAAAGTATCTGCTTGTATACAACAAGGTTTTTTATTAAACTTACAAAAAGACAGTCAACTTTTGTCTGTTGATGGTGCCTATAATTATAATGAGAATGGAATTTAAGGAAAAATAGGCAAATCCATCCAAAATTGGTAAACATTTAAAATATATTTACGTATTTTGTCCACGTACTTACTGCTAAACTGCCTTCTTCTTATAAACGCACATACTTAAATCCTTTTTTATAGATGTATCCTTTTTATTTTACAGGAATGTATACGTTTTTATTTTACCGGAAATTAAAAGACTAAACGTACTTACATTACCAGTCGTTTGCCATTAAAATTTACATCTTTCTCGTCCAAATTCCATACCGAACACTTGTGATAGATAAAGTTTTGCATCCAAAACACTATATTTTCACTACCACTCTTTATTAAAGTCACCATTGCAAAAACGCCGATTTTGTTATTAACGTATTTAAATTCACAATTAAATATTCCGTGCGAAAACCATTACCCGAAAGCTCACCGACACAACTGACTCAAGGACACTTTCACTTTTTAAAGACGAGCATGCGTGCAATTTCTTGTCCTGTGTTAGATATGTACCTATCGAGCATGTGCAGACAGTCAGTTGTTTAAGAAAATCTTAAAGCCATGCACAGACTGAGCGACAAAAGCTCGCGGCGCAATTTTATCATGCAACAAACGAATAAATCGGTTTATTAGTATTATAATATCTATAAATAATAAATTTGATCGATACACTGTCACATAAACACACACACGTACACATGCAAACAGTTTGTCATCTATCTATCCTTAGTTCAAAGCCACATCAAGACCGCAAGAAATAATCTTATTTAAGATCGAGAAACTGCAGTTTCATTAAACAATTTCTACTTTTCCAATTCGTCCTCTTTCTATTCCTCATCTTAAGTAATAATCCTAATTATTGTTCAGTATTATCCTTTTAATAACGACATTGCATTTGTAATGAATTACCAATGTAAACAAATAATTACAATAATTACAAAGGTTGTTGTTGTTAGACAAATAAACTGTGTATTGAAATACAGCTGAAGTTTTTTACTAATACAATCATAATTTTGTCAGTTTGCGATTACAATGAAAAAGCAATTATCAAAAATCCTAAAATTGTTAGATAAAGATTTAAAAGTCAAGTGAAGGACTGTAGGAGTTATCCAGGAGCAGACGTAGATAGCGATTATAACCAAGTGATTACGGAGACCAATCTTAAGTTCACAATTGTGAAAAAAATGTAGGGTTGAGATACAGAAATAAAAGAATAATAGGCAGTTAAAGAGCTTGAACAACTTGAGTAGATAAGTAAATATTAGGAAGGGAGTCAGACAAGGGTGCATAGCACACTGTCATCCCTATTTTATAATATATACATCGAAGACGCGATCAACATCATTAAAGACAGGATAACTTTAGGAATAGGTATACAGGGCTAAAATATTAGTATGCTTAGATTTGCAGATGATATAGCACTATTAGGATGTAGCAAGGAGGAGTTAGAGATAATCTTAACTAAAATAAAAGCAATATTGACACAACACTGTTATATGAAAATAAATAAAAGTAAAACAAAAATACTGGTATGCAAGGGAAGAAAAAGTAGGGAAAGAGCGAATATAAAGATAGGAGACGAAAGATTAGAAGAAGTGGCTGATTTTCAGTATCTAAGAAATTAGATAACTAAGAATGGAAGGAGTAGTAGGGATATAAAGCAGAGGATAGTNAATTAAAATTGTTTACCAAAATTAATGAAGTTTCTTGAACTAATAAAAATTAACGAAATAGAGTTTCAACTACTCACAATTATTCAATTTTGCCAAAGGATTTCAACCAATTTGGTCCTTAAAGCAACCACATAAACTTTTGCGCGAATCTTTTTGTCACTTGGTTGCAGTTCAAATTTACATTTAGTGGACAAAAATCCGTAGAGAATATGGAAATTCTTAAAAATGTATCTTAGTCAGTTATTTTAATGTTTACTTTTAGGTACATGAACAATGCTTTAAACTCTTCAAATGGTGTAATACGGAAACACGATGTTAGTTCAGCGTTTTTAGCAATTTATTCAAGTAATCTCGAAGGAATCAATATCACGTTAAATTACATACAGAACAATTATCAAAAGATTATTGATTAGTAAGTCTAAGTATTAATATTTACCGTTAAGAACTACAGCAAATGTTTATATGTGATTCTTTTCCGATGATGTCTATCTAATACTTATCAAATTTTTTGTTTTCAAGTTTTGACGGTACCTCAACATTGCTGGGTATTTTATCTGATATGGTAAACAGGATGACCACCGAAAGTCAAATTAGAAAGGTAAATAGACACAAATCTTTTATTTTACATGGAATAAAGTTTCATTAATCGTTATCCCTCATTAATACAGCTGGAGTCATGGATTTCCGCAAATTCAAACAGTTTATCATCTATTTCATCCGAAGTGCAGAGCTACATTGCGAATGCAAGAAGTAATCTAGCGTTGGAACAACAAATTGCGACTGAATTATACAATTTCTTTAATTCATCTTAGAATTCATCATCTTAAGTAATACATGTGCGTTATTCTAACACGCTAGAAGCCTTTTTCATTATTTCTTTTAATTGCCAAAGTAAATGACTAATTATAACAATCCTAAAAATCCAAATAAAGTATCTGCTTGTATACAACAAGGTTTTTTATTAAACTTACAAAAAGACAGTCAACTTTTGTCTGTTGATGGTGCCTATAATTATAATGAGAATGGAATTTAAGGAAAAATAGGCAAATCCATCCAAAATTGGTAAACATTTAAAATATATTTACGTATTTTGTCCACGTACTTACTGCTAAACTGCCTTCTTCTTATAAACGCACATACTTAAATCCTTTTTTATAGATGTATCCTTTTTATTTTACAGGAATGTATACGTTTTTATTTTACCGGAAATTAAAAGACTAAACGTACTTACATTACCAGTCGTTTGCCATTAAAATTTACATCTTTCTCGTCCAAATTCCATACCGAACACTTGCGATAGATAAAGTTTTGCATCCCAAACACTATATTTTCACTACCACTCTTTATTAAAGTCACCATTTCAAAAACGCCGATTTTGTTATTAACGTATTTAAATTCACAATTAAATATTCCGTGCGAAAACCATTACCTATTTTTAAATTAAAATCCTTCAGTATTATTTTGAAAAGCTACAGTTATTGTTAACTTGCGATTAAATGGATATTTAATAACAATTTCTAGAAGAGTGACAACATGGCCTACATCTTCTATTTTGCATCTCTACTTTTGGTAGTCTACCCTGCACTTGCCCAAGATCCCTACAGATTAGGAATCTCTGTATTTCCAATCCATTATGACGTCGAGTTAACCCTTCCCTCAGGATTTGGTCCTAGAGCATCCTTTTCGGGAAGAGTAGAAATTGGTTTAGAGACTAAAGCATTAGTGACAATCTTCGATCTTCATTCAAGCAATTTAACTTATAGTAGTTTAAAGCTGTACGACATTGACGATCCTTCTCAAAGTAATATGATAGTCGATTATAGATTGAATACAACTTATGGTGATAAGCTGTGGATTGAGTTATCAGACAATTTAGTGGTTGGAAATGATTACATCCTTACAGCCAATTATACTGGAATATTGCACGATGACATGAACGGATTTTACAGGAGTTCGTATAAAGATGCTAACAAAAATACAAGGTATGTCACACAAACGTTGCCTTCACCTCAAAACGTTGCATTTACATTTCACAATTTGCTCTAGCTCACAACCTTTGCAGTTAAATTGTTACCGAAATTAGTAATTTCTGTCATTTATTCATTCTTTTTCTAAACTGTTAATGTGGAAGACATCATTTTATTTTTTCTCAGTGCATTTTCGAAAATACTAGCCCTGGAACCTGGTTTTAAGATTCCTTATTTAAAGCAGTAATAGATATCAGAAAAAACACCTACAAGTGGCTAATGCCTTCTCCCTAACTTAAATGCGTTTAATTTTTAGCACTCTAGTAATTTTGGCTAAGAACAGGGTGGCAGTTTCAAAATTTCTCCTAACTAAACCTAATTGCAACTTTATCAGTTTATTCTCATTTAAAACTTTAGGTAACGTACAGACATCTTTTGAAATGAATTCGGTAGAATCTTGTCAATTACGTGTTAGTCATATTAAATTAATCAAGATAAAACTGACATCTGTTACATAAATAATCTAATAATTACAATTGAGGCAAAAAAAACGTTGATATCACATTTTATTTTTGTTGTATGTTTTCTGTTATTCTCAGTACTTTTGTTACATAATTTAATCATTACAATTGAGGCAAAAAAAAAAACGTTGAAGGTCTAGAAACGGTTGTAATTTTCCTATATTGATTTACATTATAATCACAAAAATCACTTTAATATCTATCAAGTACATATGATTAAAAAGGCTGCAATAAAGAGAGAACATTGTAAAACTACGTGGACGTCTGTATTATGTAAATTTGATTTACTATACAAAGTGTTCGAAAATAGAAAAAAAAAGGTTTCGTTTTAATAGCATCCATGTCTAATATGGTTCCAATCGAAAAAAGTTGTTCAGAATTCCAAAATTATGGGCTTTACAACAATACGCGGCGATATTCAAACTCTGTATAGGAAATCAAATCTGGATATTAAAGTCAAATAGGGAACAAGATTTGTTTGAAAAATTTTGTGATTGAACTTTCAGTTTAGCCACCATGAGCCAATTTTGGACCACCCTATATACAAATATACATATGTAAAGTGGTTTTGAATCCCATCCGACGTCGAAGAAATTAGTTGATAACGGAAACTTTCAAATAAATTATTGCTTTTTACATATTTTTATTGTAAAGCTCTCTAATTTTTTTCCACTTTTAGATGGCTCGCAACAACTCAGTTTCAGTCCACCTACGCTCGAAGAGCTTTCCCGTGCTTCGACGAACCAAAATTGAAAGCCAGCTATGATATATCCATTATTCATCCCCAAGATGTCCGTGCCCTTAGTAACACACCCGTAATGTCTAGAGAAGTGTAAGTAAAACGAATTTCCGTGGATGTAACATTCAATCTCCAATTTGGCAAATAATTTTAGATATAATCAAGGTATGGGTCTGGTTAAAACAACATTCCAACAAACTCCCAATATGTCTACGTATCTGGTTGCGTTCGTTGTATCCGATTTTATCGGATTAACCGATACTTCGAATAACTACGGGGTATACGCTGCACCCTATCTCATTAACACTACCCGATTAGCACTTGATGTAGGTCCAAAGCTTCTTAAAGAAATGGAGACCTTTATTAACTTCCCTTATTCAAACATTGGAATTGGTAAACTGGATCTGGTTGCTATTCCCGACTTTGCGTCAGGAGCTATGGAGAATTGGGGGCTTGGCACTTTCAGGTAAGCAATGTTGTTATTATTTATTGTTCATAAGATATTCATATTAATTATTATTTGAATAAAAGTGAGACTGAACTGCTGTATGACCAACAAAAGTCGACGCTTCATAGAAGAAGAACTATCCCAGAAATGATTATGCGCCAAACAGCTTATATGTGGTTTGGAGATTTGGTAACATGTGATTGGTGGTCATTCCTTTGGCTAAATGATGGATTTGCAACTTATTTTGAATATTTTGGAACAGCTCAAGTGAGTTAATTATACATGCATTTAAATGCATTTTTCTGAATAATTGTTTTTATCTGGAAAACTTTCATAATTATTTATTTTTGGAAAATAGGTATAAACGCAACGGCTTAAGCTATGGGTTTCTAATTAAGGATGTTTGGGAGATATATAATATATAAAATGCTACGAGACAAATAAAAATTTGGAAGAACGTTCCTCATTCAATTCTAAAACTCCTGTGAAAATTACAAATCGATTCACTCATCATCATAAGGTCATCAGTTCTAAGACTGGTTGGACACGTACCTCCACTCTTTCCTATCCTGAGCTAAACTTCGCATTTCCCTAAAACTAGAACAGCCCACATCCTTAACTATTTGCGAACAGTAATCTAATCTAGGTCTACCTCTACCCCTCCTAACTCCTGTTTCTGCCTCTAATATGTCTCTGACTAGACCTTCATGCCTGAGAAGGTGTCCTACCAACCTATCTCGCCTATTTTTTATTGACTTCCATAGAGTCCTCTGTTCT